ACCATAGGTGAGGATTGGGACGTAGATCGATCGGTAAATCGAGACGCCAAACCAATCCGCCTGTCGATTTCCCGATCCCCCCTACTCTCATTCGTGAACAAGACCCCGAGATACTTAAACTCCTCCACTTGAGGTAGGACCTCTCCCCCGACCCGGAGTTGGCAAGCCACCCTTTTCCGGTCGAGAACCATGGTCTTAGATTTGGAAGTGCTGATCCTCATCCCAACCGCTTCACACTCGGCTGTGAACCTACCCAGCAAGAGCTGAAGGTCAGAGCTGGATGAAGCTAGGAGGACCACATCATCCGCAAAAAGCAGAGACAAGATTCTCCTGCCACCAAACTCGACACACTCCACACCACGGCTGCGCCTAGAAATTCTGTCCATAAAGGTAATGAACAGAACCGGTGACAAAGGGCAGCCCTGGCGGAGTACAACCCTCACCGGGAACAGGCCCGACTTACTACCGGCTATGCGGACCAAACTCACGCTACTCTGGTAAAGGGACTGAATGGCCCTTAACAGAAAGTCACCCACCCCATACTCCTGGAGCGTCCCCCACAGGGTGCCCCTGGGGACACGGTCATAAGCCTTCTCTAAATCCACAAAACACATGTGGATTGGTTGGGCAAACTCCCATGCCCCCTCCATCACCCTTGCAAGGGTATAGAGCTGGTCCACAGTTCCAAGGCCATTGGAATGATCAACTATCTATCAAAGTTCTACAAGCATCTGTCAGATGACTGTGAGCCTCTCAGACAACTGACGCACAGAGACAGCCTACGGGAGTGGACAGAAGTGCAGGACGAAGCATTTAAAAGACTAAAGGAAAAACTAACACAAGTCCCAGTTCTGAAATATTACAGCCCTGAAGAAGAGCCAACGCTGCAGTGTGATGCCAGCGAGACAGGGCTGGGAGCAGCCCTGACTCAACATGGAAAACCAGTGGCATTTGCAAGTCGTGCACTGACGCTTACTGAGAGAGGCTATGCACAAATTGAGAAGGAATGTTTGAATATTGTGTTTGGGATGGAGAAATTTCACCAGTATACATATGGTCATCTTGTGAGTGTGCAATCAGACCACAAGCCACTCGAGAGCATTATTAAAAAGCCACTGTTACATGCACCTAAGAGACTGCAAAGGATGCTATTGAGGCTGCAAAAATATGATATAACCATAACATATGTTCCAGGCCACGAGATGCTACTCGCTGATACGCTGAGTTGGGTCTACCTGCAGGACAGCATCAAAAGCCAGACAGAGTTGGAGACAGAATGTGTCAACATGGTGGATTATTTTCCTGTTTCAACAGAAAGCATGGACAGAATACGGGCAGGGACAAGAACCGACAGCACATTACAAACGCTAATAAAGACAATACAAAAGGGGTGGCCGGCCTGTAAAAAAGAGGTACCTGTTGGAATAACCCAGTTCCAATCGTTGCAGGATGAACTGAGCACACAGGATGGATTGGTCCATGGGAGAGAGAGTGGTGATTCCACAAGCACTCCAGGCAGATATAACACAGCAAATTCACTCAACACACATCGGAACAGAAGGGTGCCTCAGGAGAGCTAGAGACTGCGTCTACTGGCACGGTATGAATGACCACATCAAAAAGTACATAGCTACATGTTGAACACATGTGACATATGTTGGTCTGTGGATGCAAGACAACAGAAAGAGACACTAAAGCCACACGAGCCGACCGCCAGACCATGGACCAAAGTTGGGACAGATTTATTCAGCTTTGAGGGTAGGGACAACCTAATAACAGTTGATTGTTACTCCAACTTTAGGGAGACAGTTTATCTACCGGATACCAAGTCGAGTACTGTGATTAGGAAACTAAAGGCTCATTTCGCACGTCAGGGAATCCCAAAAATTGTGTTTTCTGACAACGGGCCCCAGTACAGCTCGACAGAGTTTGCCAACTTCAGCCGGAAATAGGAATTTCAACACCATACCTCATCCCCGGGCTATCCGCAGAGTAATGGCAAAGCGGAGTCTGCTGTTAAAACTGCCAAACGACTCATGAAAAAGGCAAAATTGGCTGGACAGGATCCATATTTGGCGTTATTGGACCACAGAAACACCCCAACACAAGGTTTGACTACCAGCCCGGCACAGAGACTGTTAAGCAGGAGGACGAGGACACTCCTCTCAATAGGAGACAGATTGTTGCAACCCAAAGTGACTGATGACAGGTTGGCACTGAGGAAAAACACAGAGAGACAAACAAAGTACTACAACAGGACGGCAAAAGACATGGACACATTAAACCCAGGGGACGTGGTGCGAGTCCAACCTTTTGAACAACACACCTTATGGTCCAAGGCTAGAGTGTGTAACACTCGGGGAAACAGATCCTATGATGTGGAGTTGGACAATGGCAGAGTCCTCAGAAGGAATTGTCGCCATCTGAGGCGAGCTGCGGAGGTCGGAAAAGACATGTCAGTACATCCCCAGCCAGAGGGACAGAACCTTACTGGGCTGACACAGAACGAAGGGAACACACAAATCAGCACTACCAGGTCAGGACGGGTGGTACAACAACCCGGATATCTGAAGGACTATGTATGCAATTAAGGTGCACTATGCGAGTTATATGTTGAGATTTGTTTTAAAAAAAAGTGGAATGATGTTGAGTTATATGTGGAGATTTGTGTACTGGTCAGAGAACAGAACAACACCTCTGTGATAATATTTGGAGGTAGGGCTTTGTGATCTGTTTACTAGTGGGGGGAAAAAAAAGTAAATACAAATTTTTTACTTCTTGAGGGAAATTGGGTCCAACAAAGAAATGTCATGTCTAAGTTTTGTGCCAGTTGCATACTGAGTTCTCAACGAATGAAAAGTTCAGTGTCTTTGTAAAAGAAAAGGGATGTAGCAATGAGAATTGCTCTTAACCGTGTGTTCTGCCCAGAGTCTAGAGAGTGTAACACCGGAAGGTGAGAGGTAGACACACATGGCTGATTATTGATTGTTCAATAAAGGTTTGCCTCGGACGAGGAAAAGTCAACTGAGCATCTTGTGGAATTTATAGAGAGAACAAGATGAAACACCAACGAGTTGTAAGCTGCACCGACTCTTGTTTTAGCAAACTACTTGTCTCTCTCACACTTTTTTTGCTTTGCTTCCAAAGACATTACTTTCTTTCTTTTAATCCGAGGCTCCTCCATGATTCCAACAAAAAAGGCAAGGTTACTACTGCATCCAGCCAGCCTCCAGTTCGAAATCAACCTCCTTAGAATTTTACGTGCGCAATTACATGCGGCATTACGGTACCCTGATTCATAGCGTCTTTAAAATGTTTTATTCACTTGTAAGGGAAATTTGTTTTTATAGAAACTGTAATAATGAAAAATACTTAAAACAAATTGCTAATTCCACAGCACATCCACTGTTACATAATTTTGTATTAAATGTGCATGTGTATTTGTTTAAATAAAAACTGTATATTATCTATGACATTTTGTTGTTTGGTTAATTGATTGGAGATAACTAGTATATGATAACTAACTGCCTCAATATGGGCAGACTGGGGTGGTGGTCCCCCTATTTTAAAAAAGGAGGATAGCATGGTGTGTTACAACTACAGGGGGGCCACAATCCTGAGCCCCTTGTAAAGTCTATTCAGGGGTTATAGACAAGAGGGTCCAACAGATAGTTGAACCTGAGATTCAGGAAGAGCAATTTGGTTTTCGTCCTGGTCGTGGAACAATGGACCAGCTTTATACCCTTTGGAAGGTGCATAGGAGTTCACCCAACCAATCTATATGTGTTTTATGGATTTGGAGAAGGTGTTCAACTGCCTCCCTTGTGAGGCCGTGTGTCCTCTGATAGGGGCTGTTAGGTCCCTGGCTGGTGTCAGAGCTTGGTCCGCATTGCCTGCAGTAAGTAACTCTCTGATTTGCGGTGAGAGTTGGATGCCGTCAAGGCTGCCCTTTGTCACTTTGTCAGGATTTCTAGGAACATGATCTTCAGCTTTCACTGGAGCGGTAGAGTTTGAAGCAGCTTGGATGAGAATCAGCTGCTCTAAATCCAAGACCATGGTCTTGAGTCAGAAAAGAGTAGCCTTCTTCAGTTCAGGGATGAGGTCCTGCCCCAAATGAGAGTTTAAGTATCTCAGAGTCTTGTTCACAAGTAAATGATAAATGATGATAAATGACCCACACTTGTACAGCGCCTCACAAAATAAGGACTCCAAAGCGCTTTACACTACAATGTATCATTCATCCATTCACACACACATTCACACACTGATGGTGATGAGCTACGATGTAGCTACAGCTGCCCTAGGGCACACTGACAGAGGCGAGGCTGCCGAGCACAGGTGCCACCGGTTCCTCCGACCACCACCAGCAGGCAAGGTGGGTTGTGTCTTGCCCAAGGACAAAACAGCATAATTTTCTGTCCGGAGCCAGGATCGCACCTGCAACCTTACTGGACAACCCGCTCAACCTGTTGAGCAACTGCTGCCCCAAGTAAGGGAAAGATGGTGCATGGGATCAACAGGCGGATTAGTGCTGCGTCTGCACTAACGCGGGTATTGTACTGGTCTGTTGTGGTGAAGACAGAGTTGAGTCAGAAGGCTAAGCTCTCAACTTATTGATCGATGCATCTATGGTTTATCTGCGTTCCAACCCTCACCTATGATCACAAGCTTTGGGTAATGACTGAAAGAATGAGACTGCGGATACAAACGGCCGAAATTTGTTTTCTCCACAGGGTGGCTAGGATAGGGCGAGAAGCTTGGTCATTCGAGAAGGGCTTAGAGTAGGTCCACTGCTTCTCCACACTGAGAGGAAACAGTTGAGGTGGCTCAGGCATCTAGCTAGGATACCTCTTTGACACTTTCCTGAACACTCCCATTAGTGTATTGAAAATACTCGGATAATCTGATTCCATGATGCAAAGTACACAAACAGTGAAAACACTGAAATAGAAGCATTCGTTTCCCCACATAACATCAAAACACAACAACACTCACTGATGTGTTTGTCAAATTAAGATTTAATGATTCACATAGCACCTGTTTCACAACTAAGCTTAGGTCAAGCTACTTAAAAAAATGCTCCTACATAACAAATTTTTAAAAATTCTAGATTTTATCAACTTTTTTGTTAATTTTCTACCAAAGTTATTGATTTTGGATCTTTCTCTTCACTTCCTGATGCTTTTACCATTCTTTTTCTAGACCCTGCTTCCTTCTTAGGGGACTTAATGCACCACTCTTCTTCAGAGTCAAGTGATGCATTACTCTCAGACAGCTCATCCTCACTGTCTTCTTCAGTCAGTTGCTTTTTCCTCCTCCATTTGTATTTTCTTTTACCTCCATTTGACCTTTGACCCTGTGCTCCATTTTCTGCACCATGTTTTTCCGACTCAAGGCCTTTAGGCCTTCCTACTGGTCTACCAGTGCACCTTCTTTTAGGTTTATTTGATTGAAGTATTTCCTTCTCACAGCCTGTATCCTCTTCCTGTACCTCTTTCTGTGCCTCTTCTTTACTCTCCAGGTCTGTGTGGTAACGCTGCACATGAGTCTTCAAACTCACGTTGTGGTTGAACTGTTTGTCGCAGTGTTTACATTTGTAAGGTCTCTCGCCTGTGTGCATGCGCATGTGGGACTTCAGGTGACTTGCCTGGTTGAAGCAACGCTGACACACAGAGCACTTGAAGGGTTTTTCACCTGTATGCACCAACAAATGTCTCTTAATGGAAAGCTCCCGATAAAATTCTAATCCACAGAAGCGACATTTCAAGTCCACCTTGCCTCTGTGATCTTCCAGGTGAATTTTACGTTCTCTACTCTTGGCAAATGTCTTCGGACACTCAGGACATTTGAAGGGCTTCTCTTCACCTATGTGAAGCTGCTCATGAATAGATTTGTCTGCTTTTAGCTTGAACACAGCATTACAGTATTTGCATGGATGCTCGTAGCTTTCATTGTGGATTCTGCTGTGAAAATTCAAGGCCACCTCAGTAACACAACGTTTTCCACAAATGATGCAGGAATACGGCTTCATTTTGTGCTCGCACGTGTGAGGTTTTCTTCTGTCGTGAAACCTCCCACAATCCGTGCAGAGTTGTCTGTGTGCGGGGGTGAGGGAAAGGTAATCACAGTAATCAATGTACTTGTTGGACTCATTTGGTCTTGCACGGAACATTCTTACAGGGAAAACTTCTTCTGCTTTATCTAAATTCAAATTCTCAGGAGTCCAGTCGTCATCTGAATCCACCTCACCAGGATCACTCATTTCCTCTGATGTAGCCTCGGAATAGTCGTCCTTGTCCAACACAGCCACGATCTCCGGAACATCTGAGACTCCACCGGAATCTTCTGCTTCTGTCTGTAATGCAAAATCCAAAAAAATGTTAGGAGGGTTTGTTGTTTTAAAATGCTTTCAAAATGGACAAAACATGGATTAAAATATTTTTACACGTAATAAAAGACTTGGGTGAAAAAACTGAACTGAAACAACTTTTTTTTTACTTTGATAATAGCAAAGTCACAACAATCTAGGACTTTTCAACACATTGGCTGTGGTCTCAAGTAAAATGAATGCCTTGAGTCAATCTCTGTGGGGAAAAGCTCTCGCGCTCCTGTTACAGGAGCTGGTCATTGGTCGGGTCATACCAAAGACTTAAGAAATAGGATTCAATGCCTCCATGCTTCACACTCAGCTTTAAAGTGGTTGGATTGGGGTTAGGGTTCTCGAGCGCGGCTGCAGCTCACCGCTACCCACGGGGATGTGTCAAATGCGGAGATGAATTTCACCAGTATGTGACGACTAATGTGACTTTAACTTTATCATGTTTAGCCTGCATACTAAACTCAAAGTTATTGATCACATTTAAAAAATAATAAGAAAAAAATGGTTTCTCAGTGAACATGGTCTGTAAGGCAGCTAGTCTATATGTAGAAGTTGTATTTGTCAATATACTGTTGTAAGTTTGGCACAGCTGTCTCACCTCTGAGATTTCTGTCACATGTCCATCTTCAGCAGCTTCGGCACAGCTGTCCGCCTGATTTTTCCACTCGTATATATAATCACATTGAAGGCACAGCTGGTTAAAGCTCACGGCAACGCCACAAGTGACTTTGTGCATCTTTAGTTTACCCTCACATGATGGACATTTGCGACTGAACAACGGTAGAAGATGTTTTTCATTCACAAGAAACGTCCCCTTTTCCTTTAGAAGTGCAGCTCTGCAAAGAAAACCAGTTATTATAAGGATCAAATCAAAAGTATGCTTTTAAAACTCAGCAAATGAAAAACAAGAAAGAAAAAAAAGACAAACTTACTTTTTCTTAATGAGATCTGCAATTAACCATGGCTGCTCCTTGATACATTCAGAAGACTCGGTTGAGCATGAAGCTCCTGTGTGGACCAAGCCTTTATCAGAACCTACACATTTAAATAGATTTAAGCATAAATGCAAAATTTCCATCATTGCTTTTTAGCTTTTTACTTGTTTTAATTGTACCCAGCACATTTTGGCTTGATTCTTCTGAACAGGGAGCTGAATCGTGACGTGTTTTGGGTTGATATATTTCATCTCCATGAACCTACACAACAAAGCAAATTATTGGTATAAAATGATACAAATATGACAAGAATTAGCATATATATTTGAACCACCATAATTAATCCTGAATCTTTTTTGTTGTTAAAGGTGCACTATGTAAGAATATAGTGAAATTTTTACAGCGAGAAAATCCCAAAAGAGTCTAATGTTTCAGTCATTTTGGGAGGAAGGTTATACTGAAAATTTTCATATCCAGCTGGCTGCGGGGACTGTCAGCTTTTCTCCTTTCAAAACAAATGAAGGAGGGACATAACTAATGTTTACCATCAGTGAGTGCGGGGTTGCCGTGTCTCCTGCAAGCTAATGCTGCAGCACCGACATTAGTAATTTAATGACGTCTGGCAAAAAGCTCCAGTTATTTAAAGTGGTTGCAGTAACCTAATTTTACCGCAGCCTGTCATGTTTACTTTATTTCTACAGGATGCACCTTTAAGGTTGTTCCATAATTAAACCATTAACACTCCATTTCTTCATTTTGGTTCAAAAGTTAGTTTTTGTTCCTTTCAGATTATAACAACTTATCTTTTGTCAAACATTCACTGAATATTTATTGTTAAGGTATTTTAATTCCCTTTGTACATTGTAATATTTATCAACTAAACTTTTAAATGTTAGTACTTTGATTCATAACAGGTGAGATGGATCTTTATAGCCGATATTAATAAAGTATTTCAAAGTGTGTATAAGTTCCACATATGGATCCCTAAAAATCTACACGGTAAATTAATTTCACAACCTTAATTACGGCGTAATCAATGAGTTATACAGTGTTAACAGCCCATATGTTTACAGGAAATTTTTACTTTATGGAATGCGGCAATGCTGCATCATAACTTATATGAGACTTTTAAATTTACCTTGTGACAATTTAGTTTATCTAAAATTATCCCAGAAACTGTTTAATGCAATTTAATACTTTAGCCAAAGACAAATTTGGTCTCATTCTCTTTGTGGTACAACTCTAGGTGTCTCTTTGTGAGTTTATTAGACTGACTGTGAGCTGATTGCTACAAAAGCAGCATAGATTGTTGTTGTTTTGGCACCTCAGATCCGAAGCTCCCCACAGTCTCTGGTCCAGAATCCACACACACCGATGGGACGGCACCGGGCTTCAGCCGGACCGAACCAGTCTCATTATCAAACCAGTCTACTGTGAAGTGTTCACAGCAAACGGCGATTTCAGTCCAGGAGGACTCTGCACAACGATGCTCGTTGGCTTTAGCTATGAAGGTGGCCCACATCTGCCTCACCTCCGGATCGTCGGGTAGCCTAAATCGTTGTGCACTGCGACGCCAAGACTCACACCCACCCACGGAGCACATCCTGGTTTCATAAACGTCTTGTTGATAAATATCCCTGCAAAGCTCCGTGGAGAAAGACGAGCTGCTAGGCTGCTACACGAACTAGCTGCTTCAGTTTCAGTTTGAGTCAGCGGTGTGGGCGGAGTTTAGCGAGTGGGTTTGTACGGTATGTTGTCAGGCGTATACCGGCGGTGGGTATATTTTCTTATTTTATTCGTTTAATCTTCTTATTCTTTGAATTAAAATGTGAAGTCGAATTTGAATCCAATTAGATATGCAAATACACGGCTCAAAAATAAAGGGAACACAAAATTATGGCATAATTGGTCTGAATGAATTAAAAGTCTGAATAATTTGTTACATAGTAAAATGTGCTGACAAAAAAATCACAAAAAAATATGTATATCAATGGAAATCAAATGTATCAACCCACAGAGGGCTGGATTTGGTGTCACACTCAAACACACTAAAAAACACTACAGGCTGATCCACCTTTGATGTAACAAGTCAAAATGAGATTCTGTAGTGTGTGTGGTCTCCGGGTGCCTTGTATACCCTTACAATGTCTGGGCATGCTCCTAATGAGGTGATGGATGGACAGTCTGTGGTGCATGTGTTGGTGGATGAAGTGAGACATGATGTCCCAGATGTGCTCAGTTGGATTCAGGTCTGCGGAATGGGCTGGCCAGTCCATAGCGTCAATGCCCTCGTCTTGCGGGAACGCTCCTGCCAGGTCTTGCGCTGTCTTGCATTAGGAGGAACCCAGGGCCATCCACAGTAGCATGGTCTCACAATGGTCTAAGCATTTCATCACGATTCCACTGCCAAACTGGTCAGGCTGGAGGATGTTGCAGGCAGCAGCAGAATCACGGCGTCTCCAGACTGGCATGTGCTCAGTCTGAACCTTCTTTCTTCTGTGAAGAGCACAGGCGCCAGTGGTGAATTTGACAATCTTGATGTTTTCTGGCAAGTAGCAAGGTTACTACTGCCGTCCACGAGGGGGCGCTGTGTGGCTTCAAATGTTATGAGCTTCAACAGTTTCTTATGCTAAATTCTTTGTGTGGTTAATTTTAGGCATTCAGGAAATCTTTTTTTTTTTTTGGACAGTTTGTAGTTGTTTTTTTATTGTTGTTCTACATCTGAATAAAAAAACACTTGATAATAGATATGTAACTGAATGAAGCTGAAGTGATCCATTTTTCTTTTTGTATTTTGGCACTTCTCATTGAAATACTTTCCTAAGGCTATAGAGTTCCTAATTTACACATTGGTAAGGCATCAGCTGTCACAAGCGCATGGGACGTCATGCCACAGCTTGCATCTGAGTGTCTGTTTTTGGGACTTGAGCTGCAATTAGAACATGTTTGCAGGAAGTGATGCACAAACTTGCAGAACATGCTTTCAGGGTTCCGAAATTGTAAACAATGCTGATTTGAACCACTCCTTAGTGCCTTTTGATGGTGCATGTGGAAGATGCATGTGTGGGAGCATAATAAACTGATGATGTGAATTTGCTGATTCATCTTGTAAAACAAAATAATGTGCATCAGCAGCATCGGGAATGAGCTCAGCTTCACCAGCTTCCACTTGTGAAGTTTTGTTTGCCAATATCTATAAAACACAAGTACAAATGTTAGGGATGGACAATATATCAGCATCAATATCGGTATCGGCCGATGTTAGTCATTTTTTTTAAATATCGGTATCGGTCCGATAAATAAAACCGGGCCGATATTAACAACCAATATTTTTTCCATCTTGTCTCCATTTGTTTGCCTGTTTCAGAGAGTGAGGGGGGTGATGTGTATTTTTTAAGCCAAAGTGAATGTAATAATCTCAGAAGCGTAAATGTGTGTTGTGTGTAAGTAATAATGTAAATTCAGCTTTAATAGTTTTCATTTTATACAAAATCAGCTGATTTTAGAAACATTAATTGTCAGTATATCGGCATCTGCAAATATTGGTTATCGGCCATAACAATGATCTTAATATCGGATATTGGTATCGGCCCAAAAATTTCATATCGGTGCACCATTAACAAATGTAAATGTAAGAGTTATGTTCAAATTCTGAACATGTAATAGTTGTTTTAAATTTTCTAGTTTAGAAATATAGACTAACCACAGCAATAGAAAGAGCTCTTGCTCTGTATATATATATATATATATATATATATATATATATATATATATATATATATTAGGAGGAACCCAGGGCCATCCACAGTAGCATGGTCTGAAGCATGAAATGATATATATATATATATATATATATATATATATATATATATATATATATATATATATATATATATATATACCATCAGTGGTATATATAAGATAGTGTATAGATGAGATAGTATCTCATTATTATGAGATAGCTAAGTCATAATTATGAGATAATAATTTTTTTTATCTGAGTGGCGGGAATGGGCTTCCATACCTTTGAGACAAGTATTTTAAAACATTAATTAGTTATACAAATATGTTTTTTATTTTGATAATGATTGTTGGAATCATATACAATCCCTAATAATATAAATCTTCCATTAATCTCAAGAACACAAATTATCCAATGACCCAAAGCCTCTTTTTTAGTGGCAAGTACTTTCCCAATTAAGTTTTCAAAAGTATGACACTCCCTGCTGACCTATTTGTGCCATGACTAAAGTATACTTTGTCTCCCCACATGTTTATTATACATATCTATGGATTTTTTTTCATTGAAGCAGCCCTTTTGCACAGCTAAAGACAAATTACAACATCTGACAGTTATTCAAATACCGAAAAGTGTGATCAACTTTATTTTTTCACCAAATAGAAAGACGTTTATGATTTACATAAAAGGTGGACTTTAAGGTCGCGTCTGTTTTCAAGTGTTTGACTGTGAGTGCTTGCATCTAAAATGTACTCTCTCCGCAGGCAAAATCAATGAAGTCGATGTGTTACGACTTCCATTTGATTCCAGGGTTCATCACTGATATTTTTGTTTTGTGTGTTGAATCTTTAACGGCTGGTGCTTGTTACTAATGTATTGTTTATCTGTAAACAAAAGGCAGCCCACCATGTGAGAAACTCCTGTCTATGGTTTAACCACATCCCAGCTCAGTTCATGGTGATTTTAGTCTCTCTAACTGGGCCAGAGAAATGAAATCATTAAAAAAAAGTTTATTGGTTGTTTTAGCATGAAGGAATTTCACCCCCCGACCAGCATTTACATCCTCCTCCATCATTCCAATTCTGGGAAAGTCATAGTCGAAACATGTCAGCTGCCTTTCACATTCACAGAGGAATGTTGGCAAGAATTCACAATGTTGTCAGCCATTGGGCCAGAAAAGAGCTCGCTCATAGATTGATGGCGTTGCATTCTTTTAGTTCTTTCTCTTGTTTTTCTTTTATTTCCCATGCGAGCATCGCTGTTAAAAGCATCTGTGCTATGAAGTTCATATCCTCTCTGTCCATGTCCAGGCTTGTTTTGGTGTTCTATCTCCTGATCTCATTTGCGTCTGGGTTTAAAAGGGCCCATGTTTGTTTGGAATATGGCTTTAAATGATTAGATAGGCTCCTCATATCTGGCATGTTTTACACATTAAAATCTCCGTCCTCACATGGGAATCAACTTGCATTTGAAGAAATCTGAGGATTTATTTTTGGATTTCCTAAATGCCTGCACATTTTAAAAAAGGGGTTAAGAAAAAAGCTACGGAGTTATATAAGCCTTATCCCCTTGAGAAGGTTAATGAGATGCCATTTTACCCATGATCCAACTTGATAACATGTATTAGAGCGCAGTTTGAAGCTTGATTTCACAGATTAAATCTCAGACTTAACCTTTCAACCTAAGTCTGAGGTATTTATTGTCTTTGCAAAGTTCTGATGCCACCGATGACTTTTTCCTTTAATGGTCTTGTGTTTGGATCCTTTTCTGAGTTGTTTGTCAAAGAAATAAAGTTTGTGATTTATTTTAATCCTACTGAGCTGAAGTTATGAGGAACAGCCTCAGTTTGACTATGTTTTAGAGTAATAATTGAGAATAAAATCTCTAAGAATTTTAGAAGAAAAGCTTACTGTTGAAAAAACAAATAGATGGATCAGTGTTGGAGCTGCAATATGTTTTATCTTTATCATAAATTCATGTAAACTGGGTAATTATTGTGGGTGGTCGACAAATATTGTTTTTTCTATTGCCAATACCGATGCCGATTTGTAGGAGACATGCAGCTGATGGACGAAAAGTACTGCTGATTTTTATGGGCCAATTTTCATGGCTGATATCTGATGTTTTTCCACCTTATTTTCATGCTAAAAAGTTACTAATAACATCAGTTCACGCACAAACTTTCTGAAACTTGATCAGCTTTGAACTCTGAATTTAACTAACTGTAAAATCCTAATTTTGTGCATTTCTTAGTAGTAAAGTCAGACACCTAGATAAAGTTAGTTTAGAGTAGTTATTATGCAGATGTTATTATTGAATGTAAAAATACATTTAAATTAAATTCTGCAGCATCGCCGGGCTGCCCAAAGATGCGCCTGACTTTAAATCGGCTTTACTCAGGGTAAATATTGGCCGATGCCGACAAATAAAAACCATGAAATCTTTGCCCGATATAGCGGTTTACCCCTGGCTGTAACTGTAATAAAGACACATGAATAGTGATAAAAAGATTTTAGAAAACAATACAAAAGGTGATTAGGCTCTTCTTTGGAGTACTTAAAGTGACACAATTTAAAAAAAAATAATAATATATTTGTGTGCATAAAAAATTGTTGATTTTCTTTTTCTCCATTAGGGGCTTGTAAAATGGCTTATTGGCATTATTTTTATACCTGCAATAGTTTTTTGTCACACTTCTAAGATTTTAATTATGTTGGTATAAGTTAAAAAGTTTGGGATCTATGACATGTAGAAATGAAGAAAAAATAAATACAAATGTAGCAGAAACAAATCTAAAAGCCCATAAATTGGTGAGCTAATGTGTGGTTAGTTTTAAAACAGCACCTATTAGGTGTGTCACTTATTTTCAGTGTACGCTAGCAGGTATGTTGTTTTTAAAATTCTGATCATGCCAACCTGACTGATTCAGCTACGTTCAGGGTTCCGTAGAGGTTACACGATCTACGACGCCGGTTTGTGTCACTCTTGTTATGTTTCATTTAGAAACACGTGTTTGGGCTAAAAACCCAAAATGATAAAGGCGTTGAAAGAACACGATTAGTGGAAAGTTCTGAAGGAACCAAAACAATTCTAGGTAAAAGAAAGGTTGAACTGCACTATCAGAGCACCGGTGACACCATAGCATTCCCTCATATTGTGTGCTTTGAAGCCTCATTGTCAGCGCCGCTTCAGACTGGTTCCAGCCAATATCTGTGGCTCTTTCATGCATGGATCAGAGATCTATTCTCTCCTCATCTCAACCTGCAGTACGTCCAGCAGCAGTTCATAAACGTTTGGAGACTAAATCAGAGGCAAAGGGTGCAGGAATGTGACATGTTAGCAAAGGTTGCAGGAATTTTCAAATGGTATTAGTGGCTAATCTTGGAAGAATCTGTCTTTGTCCTGTATTGGGTTACACGTCCCTAAGAGAATGTGATCTATGTCAAGCGCGCTCTTCGTGGCAAGAGGAGAACAAGAGAGTAGGCCACCCGAGAAAGTTGAACCCAAAAGAATGCAGCTCTGGTATTCATTAATGAAGAGAGCTGGTTTCTGTGCTGGAACAAGAGGGCAGGAATGAGACGATAGGGTGACAACAGCACCGGAATCAAATCTGCACACATAACTTTTGCACACAAACAGTACCTGCTTGAAATAAAATAGCAATAATCCACAAGTCGATATATTAGAAACTTTTATTGCTTTATGAAATGTTGCACAATTTCACATGTGAAAACTTTCACACAGTTACATTCACACAAATGCCTGTTTGAAGTCAAAACACGCTCAGCGGTGTCCATCTCAACAAGATTGTCGGCACATAACTTAGAAATACCATACACAAACTCTTTGGCGTTCTCCTGAAAGCACTACTGTATCTAAAAATAACAATATCTGTATAAAACATATGATAAAATTAATTAAACTGCTTGTTAGTTCACAGCTCACAGTAAACAAAACAGAAAAGACCAAACACCTTTTGTTGCCCCCCAGTGGCATCCAAACCAGCAGGGTCGCCACATCGAGGCACGCACTCAGCATCACACACGAAAAAAATAATAATAAAAACAACATCCCAACATCACAATCTTACACCAGTTCTGTGTAAAAAAAATGAATATATTAAGCAGCTCGCTGATCACATTCCTCAAAATCCTCAGCAGATCCAGCTCCTCAGGCTGAAGAAATATGACCAGGGACAGCTCTAAATCTCATGTTATCAGCTTAAATAAAAAAAAAAAAAACAATGAAATCGGGCAAGTCTTCAAAAGAGATAAAATCTCTGTGAGAATGCGATTACTCAAGATTAAATCCACATTTTTTAAGAGAGCGAGGGGAATACAGGTCACATAGCTCACCCTTGATTGAATATTTATGTATGAGGCTTGAGTTAATATTCGGGGAATGTGGAAACCAGATTAGATAAGTGTTTAGCTTTTAAACTTACTGGGAAACGAAACAAAGGGGGACAATAAAGAGGAAAAGCAGCATTTTTAAAAATGTGTAAGTAAGTAGAGAGATTTATATAAATATTTTGGCATACACTCTATGAGAATATGTTAGAAACCACAATACTGTCCAACAAGTACCTCGGATTGTCCGTGTTTTGTCACTCTGCTCGTCAGAGCCGCCAGCAGCCGGGGTTGGAGCATCCAGACGGTGTCGGAGCACAGCTCTGACACTAAAAATCTAATTTCTCTCTTTCCTTAACAGTCTCAGATCCAGTAATTAGTCTTTATTCTGGCAGTCTTCACAGATAAACGGAGGCCCCCCCCCCCCCCCCAAGTCAGAGTTCAACTCCTGGATATTCAAATGAAGATTTCCACTGCTTCTGACTCCAGATCATCAAGGCCTCTGAAGGGATTGGACAGCAGCTTCTTGGGGGCTGTTTTGTCTAGAAGAGGAGAAAACAAAGAAATTGACAATAGTTTGTACGTCTTAGGGCTAACATTGTGTTAGCTTGAGCTCTGAAGGCTGTCAGCTGATTCATATTACTTCCTAAATGACCCCAGCTTTCCACTGGACGTGAAAGCGAAGTGTAATGAAATAGAGGCGTTTTACCCGTGAGCCTCCTTCCGTACGGGAGCGAAAGCATTCCGCTGCTGATCCCGTAAACTCACAAAATCACGGGAGAATTGCACAACCACGCATTATTTCAGACATCCACACAATAACAAGCAAGGAGAAAGGCAGCGGCATGTGGCCAAAAAGGTCTGTGGTTTATTTTCTGTGCTTACATCAGCTGCTGGGTTTCACAGGAAATGACGTACGTTTACCTATACGACTTTTATTTTGAAAGTTTCCAGATGTTTTCCACTGCTTTCTTGTTTGACTGCCTGTCTGGTCTGATCTAAACTCCGGAGTTTGACATGTTTTGGAAGTTTAGAGTGTAAAAAAAAAACTCAAACCTGAAAAATGGCATCCCGTCACTTCTGCGACACGTCCAAAACGTTAAACTTTGATGCCGGTAAAAAAGGAAGTTGTTCACTTTAATGGTAGCTAACTGCTGCAAAGTACATTTCGCGTCTGTTTAGCGACATTTTCACATCTGGTGGAAAGCCAGGGTGAGCCAACTGGATTTATGAGGAAAAACGTTGCAGGTAGCAGGTGTTTTGTAACGAGCTTGGCCGTGTTTGTTTCCTGTTCTGCGTTAAAACGAGACATTCGATAGCTCACTCACCACTGGTTAGCTCAGTAGTGCTGGTGGGCTCTCTGGATTTGGTTCCCTCTTGCTGCCGTTCCAGCGTTGAAGGTTCAGATTGAGCAGAAAACTGACAAACTGTTTGATCGTCTGACAGATTTTTACCTAAATAATAAATCACGGAAAGTATCAGGATCTGTTGGAGGGACATTCAGGATTCCTCATGTAAAAAGTAGGCTGCTAACCTCTACTCGTAGTGCTGGTGGTGTAGATCGAGGGAGTGGAGGAGGCAGCCCGAAGCGGAGACCGTGTTGTCTTCAAGAGATTTGTTCTGCAACTCTGCTCCTCCTTTGGGTTTTGATCCTGGTGCAGCCGCTGGTTGAGGATCTTGATCACGGCATCTTTTTCCAAAATTTGAGCATAAAGAGCTCGAATCCTGATGTGAAGGAGAAAACAAATGTGTCAGAAAATCAATCATCACTCCAAAAAAGTTGATTTCTGTCACCATTTGCTCAAATAAGCACCTGTTTTCCATCTCCTGGTTCCTTTGGTCAGCAACGGGCAGGTCCTCGTTGAAGCTGTTGTTGGAGGAGTGGCAGGGAGAGTGGTTAATGATGGTGGTGTCTCTGCAAAATAAGCAAACAAAATGCATTTATTTTTACTTACATTTTATTAAACTGGGAAGGTTTGTCTGAGTAAACATGAGAAGGTTACCTCTGAGCAGCAGCGGTGGCAGCTACCTCCATGGCAAACTGCCTCATTGTGCTCTCCTCCAGGTACTTCTGCTCCCAGCGCACCATGTCGGCTTCGAGAGCCAGGATTCGCTCCTCACGCTCACGTAGCCGCTCCTGGAGCGAATTCATGGTCAATTCTGGGGGCTGGGACTGCCTCTGAAGTGAATAAAGAGAAAACGTATAATCGTTGAGCTTCGTTACACAACAATAACAAAATGATGGCTGCTCCAGGACAGGAGGTTCACCTGTTGAGCCCTCAGAGTCTTCAGCTCCTGCTCTAGCCTCGTCCTCAGCTTCATCTCCAGGCTCTCCCTCTTCTCACAGGTGGACTGCAGCTGAGCCAGTGCACTCTGAAGCCTCTCAACTTTATCGACATACGCCCTCTTTCTCCCCAACTCATCCTCGAGTTTACGACTTCTTGCCCGAGCGGCCTCCAGGGCCTCGTCGAGCCGCTTTGTCCTAAGGCTCTGCTCCTCCGCGGTTGCTCGCAAACGCTGCAGCTCCCGCTCCACACGCTCCCGCTCGTAGTTTTGCTCCTCATCTATATAAAAAAAAAAATAGAAGGTCAGATTAACTGCATGCTCATGCATGTGTGTCATGTGGCCATTTCTGCATTTTTGATCCATTTCTAAAACCGATGTGATTAGTGCCAGAGTTGCAACATGGTGGCCTGTGTTTTTCATTTAGCAAAGCGCTCCTGGAATGTTGAGAGGAAGAACGCAGAGGAAGGGGGGGGATCTGCCCCATCCTTTTGACCCACATAGCTCAGAGCATTCCTCATCAAGGCCATACAAACACCAGCACTCTGCCTAGGTCCAGTTCCTCCAATAGACACCATAAATCACACTCACAACAGGTGGGGAGGGAGAACCTCATTCCAGCCACTTCCACTCCTGCTCTGTGATTAAGAAACGTCTCATTTCCTTTTGAAAAGAATCGCATGGGTTGATATTACCTGTTATTAAGCCTTCTTAGCACCTAAGCTGAGGTTATTCAAGTGAAATTCCTGCCAAAAAAAACGTAGCTCCAAAAACGTGCCCCATGCAGCGCTGCAGCCAGGTCCAGCTAAGAGCATATGGTCTACCAGGAAATGGAAAAATAAAAGCAACAAACAAACATGCTTACTTTGTTCAAGGAGTTTAGCCATAATGTGTTGATTATGGTCGGCTGCCTTTACTTCCTTTGCAACATGAGTTCTGGCATTCTCCAGGTTTTCTGTAACATACAGGTTAAATCGTAAAACACACATCTGGTTGTAGCTACTTTACTCTGCTAGGATGGGTTTATTTTTATGGTTTTTACCTCTAAGGTCTCTGTTGAAATCCTGCAGCCTTCTGATTTCAGCCACAAGCCTTTTCCTCAGTGTCTGCTCCAGGTTTTCTCTCTTACTGCTGCCCTGCATCAATGTCTCATAGGCCTCGGAAATACGCTGAATTTCCTGCTCCAGCTGAAGGAGGAGGGTTGGGAAAAAAAGATGAGGAGGGTTGGGAAAAAAAGGAGGGGGGAAAAATTGAAAACGAGAGAAGGAATTTTTGGTTAGCCCACTTCACATGCCAAAGAGGAGCTGGAATGTTAATTCATGTTTTCACTGTGTGTATATTTAGTTTTAAGTGTGTGTTTACTGTACACTCACTGGAATTCAGGTAATACTTAAGCAACTCGGACTAAAAGTTCGGTTTTTCTAGTTTAGGTTAACAGTAATTCTCCAGGAAATCATTACAAGTCTGTGAGCGGTGTGTGTGTGTGTGTGTGTGTGTGTGTGTGTGTGTGTGTGTGTGTGTGTGTGTGTGTGTGTGTGTGTGTTACAATTCTGAGAAGGAAATCAAGCCTGCACCACTCCCTGTGAGATTTATATCTGCATTCCTCAGAGCTGATTGCTACAATGCTAGGTGTGTGCACGCAGTAGCATTACACACACACACACACACACACACACACACACACACACACACACACACACACACACACACACACACACACACACACACACACACACACACACACACACACACACACACACACACACACACACACACACACTCAGGGATGGATGCCAGCAGAGGGAAGGTGTACATGCCTGAGCTTGGGTTGTGGAAACAGCAAAGAGACACTCACCATTACAGCAGCCACTCAGGCATGTTTACTCAGGGCTGTGGCCCAACGGGGAAAAACTTTCCAACCCTAGCAATTATCATTTTTTCAAGCTGAGACAAGGCGAGAGCCATGTGACATAATTCCAGCAGAGAGTGGAGCTGATTTTTGCTAAAACTGGCTGAGGTGACAAGTGTCGCTGATGCCGTTTCCACCACGCAGAATAAGTTTAACTGGGAACTGTGGGTGACAGCGTGGATAAAAATGCTGCTTATTGGAAACAGAAAATGGCCTTTCCACATTTTAACCAACTGGAGGCTGAAACCCAACCAGCCTAGATTAGTCTGAATGTCTATGGCCTCCATGGAACCTAAACACTAACACACAGGTCTCCACAACACAGTGAGAGGACTGTAAACACAGTAGCAGGCTGTGACCTCTGTTTGCGGTCCTGCGGTAAGAAAGGTGGCAGCTGCTGATGTCACGTTTGTCCAAATGAAGGGGTGCGCCTGCAGTTAGAGACTAGGGAGCCAACTGTCGACTGGCGTTGTGTTTCACTGGCTCAGTGGAGGAACACTGTATAGATTTTCTACCAGTAATTCACTTTTCATTGGCTCTCGCGAAGATTTCTGCTGTTTTGCAAATAATTCTGCATCCTACCTTCTGAATTCTGCCCGTCTTCTCCCTGTGTGCTCCCAGCTCCTGCCTCAGCCTCTCATTCTCCATCATCAGCAGCTCCAGCTGGTTGGGCTCCTCCAATCCAGCAGGTGTCAGGCTGTTGAATGTGCTGTAGCTAGGGGCTTCCCCAGGCTGGGCAGACTGAACATACCTATGAGAGAGATGTTTCATCAGAGGAGGCCACTTGAGCTTCAGAACAGTGTTCAGCGTTGACATACGGACTCATGAGGAAAGACTCTTTACTCCAGGGAACATAGAGAATGCATAAAGAAATAAGCTGTGTTAGTGGCTATAAATATCTAGAATGCCAAACATTTCAAACAGGGCTGGACTTGTTTCTCTTAGCATTTCGAAATAGGAATTAATGCTTTGGCTACAGAGTGACTCACATCAATAAGAATGTGTTTAAGCATGTGAAACACAATGCCGAGGATTGGGCGGGCTCAGAGACTAATACCTAAGAATATGATGTAATGTCAAAAACAAGAAGCTCAAACACAGTTAGAGTGATGCAAACCAAGTGTCTCTTCTCTACCTGTGCTGCTGAGCCTGCACTGGTTCTTGGACCTGATGAGGGATGAATCCCTGGCCCTGGAGGGGAGAGGTGTACTCTGGAGGTGGGATCTGTTTGTCTGTGCTTTGCCCCATGCTCTGAATGTACTGAGGTGTGTAATAAGGCAGCTCGGGGTAACTATGAGAGTTGGCTCTGACGGCCTCTGCCTTAGCTGCTGCATCCCTCCTCTCCAGAGATATCTGCAAGCGATGCTCGCTGAGTGAGTGCACGTGGCTGCACTTGTGCTCCAGCAGATCTGCCTCTTGGTGGAATGTCCCATCATGCAGCAGAAGCTGCCCCCCGTGGAGCTCTCTGTGGGCCCAGTTAGAGGACAGGTACTGGGAATGTGCCTTGGCCTGCTCGTAAGTGGGCAGCTTCTCGCCATGCAGCTGGTAGCTGCTTTCTGAGTCAAGGTAGTCTCCTTGGTGCTCTTGGCCTTGAGGCTCCTGCCTTGCTGAGAGCTGAGGGAGCAATGGGTCCTCCAGAGTCAGACTCTCCAGAGATGATTGTGGGCTCCTGCTCATTTCTCCTCCACTGCTGGGTCCACTGTTGTTTCCGTTGCCTCCACGCAGAGCCTGCTGCTGGATGGCTAATAAGGTGCGGGTGTCCGTGGGGTTTCCATAGCGAAGCTGCTCCTGGATGAGACGGTGTAGGACTGTGCCAGACGGCTCCTCTGTGGACGACATTGTTAAGTGTGGGAGGTTCTCGGAAAGTGTCAGCAGATCTGCTTCTTGTCAACTTAAAAAATGTTTAAATAAATCCGCAGTGAACCTGGGACACACAAAAACAGATTATAAGATTATAAGACAGAAAAACACTAGATGGGGTGCAATAATAGGTTGTTTGGGGGCATAGAGGAGCTAATAACACTGAGATCTGCTCCTGATGACACATAAATACATTTTCTGTTTGAGACTAGAAAGAATAGTGTAGGCTTGAGTTTACTGTACAAACAGCGACAGCACTGAGATGTGGTGGCTTTTATCGCAGCAGGCAGAAACGGGGAAAAATGCATGCGCCAGGAATTCCTCTCATGGGGGAACAGAAGCGCGCAAAACCGCGCGGTAAACCAACTTTTTTACGCGCATAACGCAACAAAACCCGCAAATGTCTCAGAACACCAAACGTTTTAACGCAATCACGTTATCCACGTCACAGTTCTCGGCTTTAATCTGACAAAGAAAAAAGAAGATAACAGAAACTCCTCTTACCAGCTCAGGCGCACATCCTAACCCCGGATTAGAAGTCAAATTCAGAGTATTTCCAATATTTCCTTTTGGTTTTTAGTCGAGTTAAGCGCGTCTCATGTTGCTCCCCCTCTCTGCCTCTCTCACTGTGGAATGATTATGGAGAGAGCAGGCGGCGATAATAAGTAACCGAGGAGGGACTGAGGTCGGAATGTCAGGAATGTGAAACGCGAAGTCCCTCAGGGATCAAAAGCGTAAAAGAACGGGAGGGGAGGAGGGGAGCTGCAGCTTTATTGGGCCAACGGGGAATGAGCAGGCAATAAAAACAGTTTTACATACTGTGACTGGTGAAAGAGATAAATTGTTTGCAGCCAAATCTCCTCCTGACGACACTTTTTGATGATTTTGGATTACGTCAAAAAGCATGCAATATACATTCTAATGACACAATATTTTTTCTGACAGTATTCATTCATAAACCAACAACTAGTTATTTTTTTATTGAACTAATCTGGTAAAATAACAATTTGACTACATTTTCCCCTATTTCTGCAATTCTGACCCCATACAAACCTTATTTGAGCCCTGTCAACACTGCGGTAAAATCACACTGTGCAATTCCTTTAAAAGTTGGAAATTGTCCAAAAAAATTAAATTACTGTGGAATATAGTCAGTGAAGCTCAATATTTAATATCGTTTGATATTTGCATTGAAATTTAATATCGGAAAGTATCTGTATCAGTTTTCAGTCTTTTATTGACACAAATTTTACCGTACCATAATATACAGTGGTGTGAAAAACTATTTACCCCCTTCCTGATTTCTTATGTTTGTCACACAAAATGTTTCTGATCAAACACATTTAACCATTAATCAAAGATAACACAAGTAAACACAAGATGCAGTTTTGAAATGATGGTTTTTATTATTTAGGGAGAGAACAAAATCCAAACCTACATGGCCCGGTGTGAAAAAGTAATTGTCCCTGAACCTAATAACTGGTTGGGCCTCCCTTAGCAGCAATAACTGCAATCAAGCGTTTGTGATTAAGAAACGCTTTTACAGCGCTCTGGAGGAATTTGGCCCCACTCATCTTTGCAGAATTGTTGTAAGTCAGCTTTATTTGAGGATTTTCTAGCATGAACCATCTTTTTAAGGTCGTGACATAGCATCTCAATAGGATTCAGGTAAGGACTTTGACTAGGCCACTCCAAAGTCTTCAATTTTGTTGTTCTTCAGCCATTCAGAGGTGGATTTGCTGGTGTGTTTTGGGTTATTGTCCTGCTGCAGCAGCCAAGATCGCTTCAGCTTTAGTTGACGAACAGACGGCCGGACATTCTCCTTCAGGATGTTTTGGAGGACAGTAGAGTTCATGGTTCCATTTATCACAGCAAGCCTTCCAGTTCCTGATGCAGCAAAACAACCCCAGACCATCACACTACCACCACCATATTTTACTGCTGGTATGATGTTCTTTGCCTGAAATGATGTGTTACTTCTACGCCAAATGTAACGGGACATTTGCCTTCCAAAAAGTTCAACTTTTGTCTTCCCAAAAGTCTGGGCAATCACTGAGATGTTTCTTAGCAAAACTGAGACGAGTCCTAATGTTCTTTTTGCTTAACAGTGGTTTGTGTCTTGGAAATCTGCCATGCAGGCCATTTTTGCCCAGTCTCTTTCTTATGGTGGAGTTGTGAACACTGACCTTAATTGAGGCAAGTGAGGCCTGCAGTTCTATAGATGTTGTCCTGGGGTCTTTTGTGACCTCTCAGATGAGTTGTCTCTGCGCTCTTGGGATAATTTTGGTCGGCCGCCCACTCCTGGGAAGGTTCACCACTGTTCCATTTTGAGTCCCAAAGCTTTAGAAATGGCTTCATAACCTTTACCAGACTGATAGATCTCAATTACTTTTGTTCTCATTTGTTCTTGAATTTCTTTGGATCTTGGCATGATGTCTAGCTTTTGAGGTGCTTTTGGTCTTCTTCTCTGTGCCAGGCAGCTCATATTTAAGTGATTTCTTGATTGAAACAGGTGTTGCAGTAATCAGGCTTGGGGGTGGCTACAGATATTGAACTCAGGTGTGAAACACCACAGTTGGGTTATTTTTTAACAAGGGGGGCAATTACTTTTTCACACAGGGCAATGTAGGTTTGGATTTTTTTCTCTCCCTAAATAATAAAAACCATCATTTCAAAAACTGCATTTTGTGTTTACTTGTGTTATTTTTGACTAATGGTTAAATGTGTTTGATGATCAGCAAAACTTTGTGTGACAAACATGCAAAAGGATAAGAAATCAGGAGGGGGCAAATAGTTTTTCACACCACTGTACATCAAAATCTTTAGCTACTTCTCCATCCACCCATCCATCCATCCATCCATCCATCCATCCATCCATCCATCCATCCATCCATCCATCCATTTTCATCCGCTTATCTGGAGTCGGGTTGCGGGAGCAGCAGCCTAAGGCGAGAGGCCCAGACTTCCCTCTCCCCAGCCACTTGGGCCAGCTCCTCCGGGGGAATCCCAAGGCGTTCCCTGGCCAGCTGAGAGACATAGTCCCTCCACCGTGTCCTGGGTCTACCTTTAGGTCTCCTCCTGGTTGGACGTGCCCGGAAAACCTCACCAGGGAGGCGTCCAGGAGGCATCCTGACCAGATGCCCGAGCCACCTCAACTGGCTCCTCTCGATGTGGAGTAGCAGCGGGTCTACTCCGAGCACTCTTCGGAGAAAACTCATTTTGGCCGCTTGTATCCGCGATGTTGTTCTTTCGGTCACTACCCAAAGCTCACGACCGTAGGTGAGGGTAGGAACGTAGATCGACCGGTAAATCGAGAGCTTCGCCTTCTGACTCAGCTCTCTCTTCACCACAACAGTCCGGTCCAACGCCCGCATCACTGCAGATGCAGCACCAATCCACCTATCAATCTCACGCTCCAGCTTTCCCTCACTCATGAACAAGACCCCGAGATAGTTAAACTCTTCCAATTAGGGCAGGACCTCATCCCTGACCCGGAGAAGGCATTCTACCCTTTTCCGAATCAAGACCATGGTCTCATATTTAGAGGAGATGATTCTCATCCCAGCTGCTTCACACTTGGCTGCGAACCGCTCCAGCGAAAGCTGAAGATCACGTTCTGATGAAGCCGACAGGACCACATCATCTGCAAAAGCAGAGACCTGATCCTCAGGCCACCAAAACAGATGCCCTCCACACCTTGGCTGCACCTAGAAATCCTGTCCATAAAGGTTATGAACAGAATTAGTGACAAAGGGCAGCCTTGGTGGGGTCCAACTCTCACTGGGAACGAGCCCAACTTACTGCCGGCAATGCGGACCAAGCTCTGACACCAATCATACAGGGACCTAACAACCCGTGTCAGAGGGCCTGGTACCCCATACTCCCGGAGTACCCCCCACAGGGCCCCCCAAGGGACGCGGTCAAACGCCTTCTCCAAATCCACGAAACACAAGTAGACTGGTTGGGCAAATTCCCACGCACCCTCCAGGATCCCCCTAAGGGTATAGTGCTGGTCCAGTGTTCCACGGCCAGGACAAAAACCACATTTCTCCTCCTGAATCTGAGGTTCAACAATCCGTCGAACCCTCCTCTCCAGAACCCCTGAATGGACCTTACCAGGAAGGCTCAGGAGTGTGATCCCCTGTAGTTGGAACACACCCCGCAGTCCCCCTTTTTAAACAAGGGGACCACCACCCCGATCTGCCAGTCCAGTGGGACTGCCCCCGATGTCCACGCGATATTGTAGAGCCGTGTCAGTCAACACAGCCCCACAACATCCAGAGCCTTAAGGAACTCCGGGTGGATCTCATCCACCCCTGGAGCCTTGCCACAGAGGAGCTTTTTAACCACTTCAGTGACCTCAGCATCAGAGATTTGAGAGCCCATCTCAAAGTCCCCAGACTCTGCTTCCTCACTGGAAGATGTGTCGGTGGGATTGAGGAGGTCTTCGAAGTATTCTGCCCACCGATCCACAACGTCCTGAGTAGAGGTCAGCAGCACACCGTCCCCACTATAGATAGTGTTGGTAGCGCACTGCACCTTCCCCCCCGAGGAGCCAGATGGTGGACCAGAATCTCCTCGAAGCCGTACGGAAGTCTTGCTCCATGGTCTCACCGAACTCCTCCCATGCCCGGGTTTTTGCCTCGGCGACCACCCGAGCCGCATTCTGCTTGGACTGCCGGTACCCGTCAGCTGCCTCTCGAGTTCCACAGGCCAAAAAGACCTGATAAGACTCTTTCTTCAGCTTGACAGAATCCTTAACCGCCGGTGTCCACCAGCGGGTTTGGGGGTTGCCACCTCGACAGGCACCGACGATCCTGCGACCACAACTCCGGTCGGCCGCCTCAACAATGGAGGCACAGAACAGGGTCCATTCAGACTCAGTGTCTATCGGAGGTGGGAATTGAAGCTCCTTCTGACAGGAGACTCTGCCAGATGTTCCCAGCAGACCCTCGTGATACGTTTGGGCCTGCCTGGTCTGACCGGCATCCTCCCCCACCATCTGAGCCAACTCACCACCAGGTAGTGGTCAGTTGACAGCTCCGCCCCTCTCTTCACCCGAGTGTCCAAGACATGCGGCCACAGGTCAGATGAAACAACAACAAAGTTGATCATCGAGCTGCGGCCTAAGGTATCCTGGTGCCAAGTGCACATATGGACACCTTTATGTCTGAACATGGTGTTTATTATGGACAATCCATGATGGGCACAGAAGTCCAAAAACAAAACACCACTCAAATTCAGATCAGGGGACCGTTCCTCCCAACCACACCTCTCCAGGTCTCACTGTCATTGCCCACGCGAGCGTTAAAGTCCCCCAGGATAACGAGTGATTGTTATGATTATCAAGTTGATTTACCTTGCGGGCCATAACCAATTTTGCCCCTATCCTGACAGCATGTATTCCCAGTGAGGATTCACTGATACCAGTTAGGGTTCTTTCATTTTCTGCTTTTCGCACCATCCTTTTTGCATCTTACACAGAGAGGGTTGCATCCATTTCTTCACTTAATGGGTAATTCACATAAAACTTACACATAGTACAACAGGTGCTCATAGAGTTAGTTTTTTTTTTATTTCTTTGATGACATGAAATGCCATTTTGTCGTGTCTACATTGAAGTGCCTGCACTGTGCTCTCTCTCCTCTGCTGAGCTCGTGAGGATCCTGCTTCCTGGGGGCGGATCCGTGACTCGTCATCTGCATCGACTAC